TATAACCAGAAAAAGTGTTTTGTCAAATGAAAGCCAAGGTAATCAATTTACATTTTGGGCACAGGCTCTCCTCAATACTCCAGCTTTGTATGAACCAGTTAATTCAATCTGGCAATCTATTAGCTTTGAGATGTTGTTATTGGAAAAACAATTTAGAGGCCCGTCTATAAATGGTCGGGGGGCCATGAATCAAAACGTTTTTGTTGTGTGCAGAGGGGAGCGTTATAGCCTCCGTTTTAAAAAAACAGTCCACCAAACAGTCAACCCAGAGGCTTGGAGAAAGAAATGTCATGTCTGATAAATGGCTGTCTGTGTGCTGTGCTCCCATACACGTTTACCTCTTGCTTATAATAAATCATGATGAATTGGGTATCTGTTGGAAGTATCGGCTAATTATATATATTTTCATTCCGCTTCCTGTTGTATTTCTATAGTATGTCTCATGTCCTGAAGGTCCTTTGGTTGCGACTGTGTTTCCCCTTATAGACTTATAGACTGTTTTAGATTCCACTCTCCTTTCTGCCAGTCACCGGCCCAATCCGGTCAAGCAGAGCTGGAGTTTTTACGACTGACTCAGTGGGACATCTAGTATTATGGGGACTGATTAGAATAATAGCTCTGCTCAGGCCTGGCCTGGCGATGGGCCTGCAGTCTCTGCTCCATGCTACAGTCATCTAAACAAAAGCTAGAGCAGCCACATCTTAGCTGAAGAAAACCAGAGACTGAGACTAAAAAAACTACAAACAGAGCTTTAACAGTTTTTTCAATATCTTATATTCCGACTAAGAGTTGGGCTAGTTCCTAGCTACGGTTGGGAACCACACACTTTTCTTTGCAGATGAACTAATGGCATTTCAATCAGGAGAGACGGTGTTGATGTAATAATACATATTTATTGCGCAGATGCACAAATGAATGCAATGGTAATTTTGGCGATTAGGCCCCGTTGTGCAGGAAGTATCATTCGGGAGGGTAGAACCGATCCGATGAAACCCCCCTGGGGTCTAGACACTGGTGGTGGTGAATGGATAGTTGGGTCGGTCTGAAGAGGAGTGGTTTAGCTTGACCCTGGATTCAGAGGGACAGGAGGTGAAAAGGGGGTGGAGGAGGGTTGCGCCGATTCACCTGGAATGAGAGCTGTCAGAGGGGAGAGCAGATTTAAAAGGTTTGACAGAGCGCTATGATAGGCTCTTGGGAATAGAGCGAAGTGATTGGTTAAGCTGAAGAGTGACGCCCCCGGTCACTTTATTGAGAGGAGAGAGAGTAATAACATGGGAATAGAAATACATGAATGAGTAAAGACGGTCTTCCTGGTTGAACTTGCGCTGAGCTTCATGTCTACACACTCCATGGTTCGGCTCTGCTAGACTCACTATTGGTACCAGGTGCTTTTACCGCAGTAAATTTAGTTCTAGGTTTATTAGACAGACATTTACAGTTTCACAGACTGTCTGTAGTCTGAGGACAGTTAGCTCACATCGGAGCCCTCTCTCTTAATCACAGGTTTTCACATCAATCAATTGCCTTTTGAATGATCATTAACCAATGTTATTTTCAATATTTCCATGCTAACTTGCTTATATATCAAGGAGAGACAGGTTTTTGATGTAACAATATATATTTATTGCCAAGAAATACGCAGATGAATGGTGTTTGGCGATTAGACCCCGTTGTGCGGGAGTATCATCCGGAAGGGGAATACCGAGCCGATAAAACCCCCCCTGGGGTCTAGACACTGGTGGTGGTGAAGGCATGAAGGGATTGATGGAGGTCGGTCTGAAGAGGAGTGGTTTAAGCTTGACGTGGACCCTGGTTTCTGAGAAATGGGAGGTGGAAGGGGTGGAGGAGGGCTGCGTCGAGTCACCTGCAATGACAGCTGTCAAGAGGGGAGAGAGCAGATTTAAAGGTTTGACGATGTTCTATGATTGGCTTGTTGGAATAAAGACGAAAGTGATAGGTTTAGCTGTGGAGTTAACGGCCCCCCCCCCCATCGCTGATTGGAGGGGTGAGCGTAGTAAGGACGAAATATGTGAATGACAGATTATAAAGTCTTCCTGGTTGAACTTGCGCTGAGCTTCATTAGTGAAACTGAGTAAGACGACTAATTAGTTGACAGGTGAAGGAATTTGAAATAGAGTATATTAGTTAACCGGAGAGCAAGAACCGATATGTTATGCGTGCATCCAGCAGGGGATATACAATCTGCTATGTGTGTTAATTGTAGTTGATCATTTGTTAATGTACACTTAATAAGCTATTGAAAAATGGGAGCTCATTTTAGACACACGGCTGAGATATTTCTAATTTCATCTGCATTTTTTCAGATAACTGTAGAGACTCTTATAATAAAGTTTCTTTCTCTGTTTAAAAAAAGCCTTTGAACATTGTATTATTCTGATACTATTAAAAACCCTCAACCATTGTGAATGTTATCTACTCTGCAGAAAGTCTTTTTCCCACCTTACCTGTTAGAGGTCAGACATGCAGCAGAACAGAAAGTATAATTACGCCGGGTCTCTTTTGTAGAGAGTAGATAGTTGCACAAAATGTTACCGGGATAATGAGGATCTACATCTCTCTGTCTCACCTTCTTCCGGCACTCACTACACCTTCCCTCAGTTATATCTTGCTCATACCTCGCCGACTGATATGTGCTGCCACCCGACTCCACAGCAAAGAGACCCATTCATATATTTCTGTCTCACCAACGGAGATAAAACACGCAGACACGTTTTTTATGTTATATCTAGAGGGATGCACTGAATAACGCATGTCATTATGATCATTATAATCGGCACATATAAGTGACTTGATTGAGTGAATACAGGACAGCACTAAGCTGTCGCTCAAGCCGTGTCCTCAGTATGTCATTGCTGTCAGACAATTAAGAGACATAATGTCATTTCTTTCACTTCCGTTCAGTTATGCATATAACGATCATCTTCATTCATTAGCTCATTAGTGATTTACATTCAGAAAAATGTCCTTTCTTTAGCATCAATCGGAATTTCTTTAGATCTATCAGTTATTTAGCAGAGGGGAGGGGAAATCTTATATTTGGAACAAATACACACAAACACAAGTTTTACTGAAAGACTCAGGGGGAAAGGGTTCAGTACAACATGAACCGAGAAGTTACATAATTCGTAGAAGTCTCAGGCTCAGAGTGACACCAGCATACTGTAGATGTAGACATAGTACAAGGTAGGGAGTTATATTTCTAAGAGGCATACAGCAGGCATGTTGCACGTGTCAGATTCCCTTCAACAAAGAAGGTATTGTTTTCAAAGAAAGGGCTTATGTATCCCGTGTTGTGAATGTAATGTCTTAGATCCAGCCCTGGTATACAATATGGGTATAGACTGCAGGTAATTGCAGTCTCTTGTTAAATTGAATTCAAATGATGTCATTATGGCTACATTTGTGTGCTCAGCCAGTGTTTTGCTACTCTCTACTGGAAATGGAAATGTTGGGTTTTATTACATTATGGTCGTTCTCCTGTGAAGTACATTTTCTGTTCTGCCATCACCAAATGAAAGGAAAAGTCACTAAGAGCTTCAAAAGCCAGGATACATTTACTTGTTAATATACTGTATTATACTCAGCCACCTGCGCAAAAAGCATAAAGAAATGCACTCTGCAGAATGACTGCTCAAAAAACAGCCAGGCCACATTTCTGTCAGCTTGATAAACGGCAGGCAGCATTGAAAACACAAACAGGTTGAAAAAATGATCCTTGGGCATAAACTTACCATGGCAGGGTGCTCCCTTTGCGCCACCATATCACACTGTCATGCAGAACGCCAACCACACACCTCCTTTGAGCAACAGAACTTTTTATGATTTTGGTTTGAGGTCAAAAGGGAATTTGTCTGCTCTTGTGAAATGTCAACCTGTGCTCTAGGATCATGTGTTGAATGTTGAAAATGTTTTGTTAAGTTTTGATATAAAAATCCTTTAAAGTTATTGAAAGTATCAGTTCACACTTTGGGGTATGTACGTTTGTCCGTTTCATTCATGTTAAGACTTCTCCAAACCAAAGTTAGCACTTCTCTGCATACAAACCTACATACATGCATAGTTATTCAACACCTGTAGGAGTTGCTTTATAAAGATTGCCAATTGAAATCATAAGACTATGAACCATTGATTTAGATAAGACTAACCGACCAAATACACAATAGATAACATTAACTCCACCCTTACAAACAACTAATGTGAAACTAGACATAAATATCAATGTATAAAGTATAAAAATCTCATAATATATAATACTAGCACTCACAGGGGGCAGTTCTCTATGTTTGCTTTTAATACTTAAACTATACACAGTCCTGAAACTTATTTGCTTTAATTTAATTTAGTAAACAATCAATGTTTGTCACATCGATGACCAAAAAAATAGGCCCTCTGTGTTGTCACTGGGCTTTTATTCCCCTCTTGGTCCTACCAGAATCAGATTAATACATCGTTATCACTATAATGCATTCTTTATGTCATGTAAATGTAAATACTTACTTATGTGCGACTGAAGAATAAATGAACCATGACTAATATAAACGTCTGATGACGAGTTAGTTTTGTCAGGCGGCTGATGTCACCGTAGCCTTTCCTGTATGTGTTTCAGCAGCTTTTGTAATTTATTCCACATTGATTTTATCTGAGTCATTCCTTTCATCCTCCGACTAGAATTACAACGAGGCACCAAAATTCGTTTTTGAAATTGAGTTGTGTTTCCACAGTCTTTGAGGTTATTTATTGTATAAATATAATGATACTCAGGCAGCCTATCCTCATTTGTTGGACTTTTTGCTCTAGTTGCTCTATTGAAAATCTACGTTGTTGCTTATTTTCATATTTGAGTTGCTATTGCTGAGTTTATTCGATAGAAAAACTCCATTGCCTTTTATGTAAAAAATATCATATATTAATGGATATCTCCCTTTCTCTCTCTCTTTCAGATGTAAATGGAGAAGCAGCAGTGTCACCAAGAGAAATTGGACATCCATACGATTTTAAAGTGCTTTGCATTAAAAACAGAAACAGCATCACTTCTCTCTGAAGTAATCCAATACTGATAATTAATGTCAAACTGCACGCTGGAGCGGCACCATGCTGCCTCGCTGGGTGAAACATTGCTAATGGAAAGAAAGCCTTATAAGATCCAGCTGATCCAAATCCCCCTAAATGCAGCATAATGCCTTCAAAAGTGTCATGTTTGTACCTGTTGACAGTGGTCTGCTGGGCGAGTGCTCTCTGGTACCTGAGCATATCCCGCCCGAACACCACCTATGTCGGCCACATGTCTATTCCTATACGTAAGGTTCCAAAACCCCCCCAAAACATCACGTTTACCAACATCCACACCCGCCCCCTTAACCCACATGCCTTTGAATATGTCATCAATGAGCCGAAGAAGTGTGAAAGTGCCGCTCCCTTCCTTATCATCCTCATTAGCACCACCCACAAGGAGTTTGATGCACGGCAGGCCATCCGGGAGACCTGGGGGGACGAGAGCACCTTCGGGGACATCCGCATCCTCACCATCTTTCTGCTGGGCTGGAACACGGACTCCATCTTGAACCAGATGGTGGAGCAGGAGAGCCAAATCTTCCATGACATTGTGGTGGAGAACTTTATTGATTCCTACCACAACCTCACCCTCAAGACCATGATGGGCATGCGCTGGGTGACTACCTTCTGCCCCAAAGCGCAGTACATCTTAAAGACAGACAGTGACATCTTTGTCAACATGGACAATCTCATCTACAAACTCCTGAAGCCCACCACCAAGCCAAGGAGGAGATATTTTACTGGCTATGTCATAAACGGTGGTCCCATTAGGGACATGCGCAGTAAGTGGTACATGTCCAGGGACTTGTACCCCGACAGTAGATACCCTCCTTTCTGCTCGGGTACTGGCTATGTGTTCTCTTCAGACGTTGCGGAGCTCATCTATCAGACTTCATTACACACAAGACTGTTGCACCTGGAGGATGTGTATGTGGGAATGTGCTTGCGAAAGCTCGGTATACACCCGTATCAGAACAGTGGTTTTAATCACTGGAAAATGGCCTACAGTCTGTGCCGGTACAGGCGGGTTATCACCGTGCACCAGATCTCCCCGGAGGAGATGCACCGCATTTGGAACGACATGTCCAGCAAGAAGCACCTGAGATGTTAGGGGACACGAGGACCACTTAACAACAACTTCCTTTTTGTGTTGCCTTTTCCTCTTTTGTTTAACTCATCACATTGTGTAATGTAAAATAAAAGGCCTGCTGCGAGTCTTCATGACAGATGTTTTCATATCTATTTCTGCTGATTGCACACATGATTGTTAACGAATGCATGAGGCTTGTAGCGTATTCTCATGCATAATCAAAATGTGGCGTTTGTTACTGAGACTAATTTTGTTCATGTATTCCAGGTGCAAATTTAAGCATAATATTCTTTATGTGCATTAAGTCAATCAGCGTTGAGCATTGCGTAGTGTGGCCTGATGGGTAGAGACTGTGTTTCAGACGACCTTAGTTCAAGCTCACATTCACAAGTGTCCTTGAGACACTGGATCTGTAACAGCTGCATGGCTGCTGACTCAGCACCCTGATCCCTCTGCAGCAGAGCAGGCTGGGAGATTTCTGTGCAGGAATCGATAAAGTAATAAATGACTATATTATATTTATAATATTATAACGTTTAAAAAAAAAAATGCATTTACAAACTAATAAAGAGATCCTGTTAATCATATCCAACCAACCAGGTCGTCTGTTGAGGTAAAACTTACACTCATGCTGCTCTCCCCTATTTATGTTCATTATGATCACAGTCTGATATAAGATGCAATACGTTGTCTCCAAACAGACCAAGATAATGACATGTTTTATTTTTGTATTCATCACTATTCTCTTGATCCAGCTGAATTTACTGGATGCTCTTTTTTTTAATGAGTTTGCCTGATGGTTTTGTTTACATACCTTTAAAGTTTGACTGCCTCTTCTTTCTGAATAAGCCCAATGCATATTTTTGTTTTAGATGCATTTTGTTTTTTATTCTGGTTGACATTTTTATACTTGCAGTAACTGTGTGTCTGAGCTACCTGCTGCTCATTACTCCAGCTGCTGCTCTCGGTTGCGTTCGCAGTAAATCAGCAGCTATCCGCTCATCGCCTCCTCCACATATCAACAGAAATACAGCATCATGTCGAGCAAGTCTGCGTTTAACTGTATCTAAGACCATTACAGACTGGATGTATTATCGTATCTATGTGTCTGGCATATCTGTGATTACTGGAGCACTGCTACTGGCGTAATGGAAACATGTTGTGTTTCTCAGACAATGTGGCTTTCATGGCCTCATTTTCATTTCTTTTTTTCAACGTTTTTGTAGTATTACGAGCTAATGTGACATTTACTGTGAAAGCATCTATCCTTCAAGGGGTTGTTGTTATATATTGTATGTTTTTTATATTAAAAAACAAATACTTGAATTATTAATGATATATTACTGCTTTCACTTGTTTTCTGTTTTGAGTTACCTGTTTTAGATTTGCAGTTACGGTTTGTTAAACGTTTTTTAATGTTGTATTTGAAATGACAGAGCAGGTTTTTCTACAGTAGTCACACAAGTGGTTATCTAAAATGATTTAGCTATTTTAAACAAAGTGAGCAAACTCACTCCAGAATGTCAGTTACTCAATAATATCTAACTTAATTGTTCTAACCTTGGAAAACGTGTCATTGGTGTTGCTTGGGATTTGTGTTTTTTGTTTAAGCAGAGAACATATTTCCTTTCCTGACATGGCGCTAATAGAAAACACTCCACGCTGTTTTGTTAAATAATAGCAATTCTTTATTGTTGCTCCTCATCAGAAATTTGACATCAGCTGATTACAGAGAGGAAACAGGGGTAATATGCTGAAATGGTTCACATACTGTACATATAAAACACAATAAATAACTTCCTCATAAAGAATTTAGTAGAAGTTAATATTTACCACCTCAATACTTAAAAATAATTTAGAGCTACTCAACTTGTTTGGACAAACAAATGGCTCGTCACCCTTTCAATAGTTGCCTTTTGGTTTACAGTACTTCACTATATTTTTTGGGAACAGAGGGTTTTGTAGTGCAGCAGGACATAGCAGGGAAATTAAACTGTTGTGGTTTTGTCGATGAACCTAGCATCTGAATACACGCCTACCAGAGCAGATTACTAGAGGTTCTGTTTGTCTGATGACAAAAACACACATGTTAATTTGTCTCCAGGGGCTAAGCATCAGCCCAAAAGTGCATTGTAGCTTGTCTCATTAAGTTAAGATACTTGACTTGAACTGAAATGTTAATCAGCAGGTTCTGCTCTTTGTGTGGTCTCAATCATTGTCTACTTTCTTAGGCACAGAAAAATGAACAAGGCACCTCTAACATTTTTGAAGCATTAGCACTGTCGAGAGCAGCAAATTATACACAGTAGCATCCAGGTCTCTTCTTTTTTTCTTACTGCACTCTCAAGCAAATGGGTCCCTTCTTCTCAGTGTAAAAACATGTCTTGACACAGAAATCATTCTCTTTTAAGACATTCATTATGTTATTACGGAAATGTGCTTTTACCCACAATTTAACTAAATCTTACATTCTGACAAAGACCTCATGGAAACATCACAAAGGAGTGTGTTTTTGTGAGATGCTGAGTCTAATTGTTTTCACTGTGGCAACAAAACAACATAAAAATACCTTCCCATTTCAATAAATAATGAGAGCCTTGCCTTACACTTAGGCAATGCGATGTAAAACAAAAAAAAGAGAAACAAATAAATAAAAAACATTAAAAGCTACATCTTAACCACCTTATGTCACCACCTGAGTACTTCTTTAGGTTTCCTGGTCTGTGTCCTGAACTCGCTGTGTGCGCTAGGCGGTGGAATGTTTTAAGGTTAAAGGTCAGGGGACAGTGAGCGGGAAAGTCGGCGCTAAGGAGGTGGAGGTGGGGCGGTGGTGGGGCTTGGCTCAGGGGAAGAGAAAAGGAGTGAGGGAGGAGGGGGAGGTGTTTTCAGGGTGGGTGTTGGATAAGATGGTGTGTTCCTCAGTCGGTGTGCCCTGAACTGTCTCCCCACTGTCTTCACCTGCTTCAGGCATGAACAGAGCATCAGCTAACACTGAGCTGTGCAAAGCCGATCAGCTTCACCTCGTCGGGGATCTCCGTGTCTTCGCTGCAGGAAACCTGCGTCAGGGGGAAGAAATGGAGAGGGTCAACGGGGGCGGGCCGCCTGCATGCTGACACTCATCTCCGACAACAGAACTAATCCTGCAATATCTCCCAAACCACGGCGGTGTAACTCCCAGGATTAATCAGGGGATTTCAACTGCAGGCTTATTATTTCACAAAATGAGGGTTTTTCAACCTGCTGGGTTTTAATTAAAAACAATCTAAAAGACAATTTGGGTTTCTAAATGACTTGAATAACAAAGACAACAATTCCCTTGACCCCCACATCTGGTTTAGGTATTTCATGAGATTGTCGACAATGAGGACAAATACATATAGAGTATTGCCAGCATTATTGATAAACTATTAGTGGAGACATTCACATCAACATTACTTGTTGCTGTGCAATTTTAATTACATTAAATGTTATGTATGGTAGTATATGTACTCTAGAGAGGTTATGATATATTTAGAATGTATAATTACTGTCAGAAAGAAACTGTGTTTCAAGTGAATGAGTCACATCTGGCCTATTTTGATAAGGTTAGTAGAGAGGAAATGTCAGGTGTGGTAAAAGTTCAGAACATCACTGTTATGCAGTCAAATTAAAGTTAAAATAAGACATCAAGAAGTAGTGGCTTGATCTGTGTATTTGTGTATCTCATATCATCAAACTGTATGTATCTTTATATATATTAACAATATGTGTACCTTTGGTCAGTGTCTGCTTTTAATGCCTTGAGCTAGTCCCCATAGTTCAAATTTAGAGGAAGTGTAAGTGAAAGAGTACACAATATTATAAATAATTTTTTATATTATTGTGTTTCAAAGAAAATGTTCAGGCGTTCACACACTTGGGTGTCTACATACTTTTGACAATGTTGTGTGTAAAAAAAAACACAATATTGATTTGACTGGCAGTTCAACCTTCTAGCACCTGCCATCTCACACCAATTTTAGGCTGTTCAGAATTGACTCTGGGAGGCAATATTAAAGGCAGTGTGCATTTAGATCTGTCTGAGAGAAAGCCAGTGTGACCTGACGGCTTCTACCTGATGGAGACAGATGCTCCATCACTCAGGAGGTCTGCAGTGTCATCAACACAAAGGGACTGTTATGAAAATGTATCATGGTGAGCTCAGGGTCTATTGTAACCTCTTGTTCTGTTAAGTCATTAAGTTGCTCTTTTGCCACCCACACCATAAATTGCCTGCATAAGTGTTATGTACTGCTCCTCCTGTGAGGGTAATTATTCTCACTGCCTGGGTTTTGTTAAACTACACTCGTAACTCTTCGTTGAGAAAAGGCTGAGTTGAGCCACTGTGAGTTTTTTTTAAATGTCTGCAGTGGAGCTGAGTTGATTTATGGAAATGGTGGCATGCCCACATATCTGCATGCCCTGTGTGCTCAACACCGCCCTCACTCTGACTCTCCAGAGACTCGTCCACCTGCAGAAATCACGAGCTGCTGATAAGGCAAACATGTCGAAAAGGTCACAGTGTGACCCAAAAAACAGATGTTGTTTACCGACGATTACAGAAAGGTCAACTAAGCAGAATTTACATCATTTTGTCGAATCCTACAGGACTGACATTATTGATTTTTCACATTGTTTCTCTTACAAATGGTGACTTACTAAAATGGTGTTGTGTTGTTATTAACATTATATCTTGATTAGTGGAGAACTGCACCTCTGCTGCAATGTTAGTACTAGTTAAAGCTATTGCAGTTTTCTTTCTTCCTAAGAGTTGGTTGGGAGTTTTTGTCCCACAAAATAGTTCACTTTCATCATGCAAAGCTAATTGTTAAGAAATTGTATCTAAAATACAGAAACACGCTTTTTCTTTACAGGGGTACACCGCCTGTGTGCTGTAGTATGAAAGGTTCAGCCTTGCTTTTTTTCTGTCAACTTTACTTGATCAACATAGAAAAAATATCAATTTGTGAATCAATATAGAATTATGGAGGGTAATCATTTAAATGTTCATAACTCCAATCTCGATCACCAACTAAATATCTTTAAAAGTAGTTATTTGCGTCATTAACTGAAAAACCTTCAGCGTCAGATGTTGGTCAATGCTGAAGCTATTTACTTTGTATGTGACCTTTTGACATGCTCCATCCCTCACACTCCTCACTGATACTTTCAACAACAAGCTGTTTACGGCTTGATGTCGTCAGCCAGGACAAAGTTGGGAGGGTGTCATCACCCATCAGTCATCTGGAAACTCACCAGCTTAAAGGTCAACACTTTGATGGTAGTTGTGTCATCTACAATCTTCTGAAGGTTCGAAGCAACTGTAATGCAGACGGCATACAACAACACAATGAAACAAGTACATTCTGGTACATTTTATACAAAAGTAGATTAATAAACATTAAGTGTCAATTATCAACACTAGAAAT